CCCCAAAACCCCAAAACCCCAAAACCCCTATAAATTAGTCAGATATTGAAAATTACAGCCAAAGAAGTTGGAAGCCAGTATACCTGGTGTCTCACTTGGGTCAATTCCTGCTTATTCTATTGTTCTTCCTTCTAACTCCCTTAGAATGTGAATATACTCATGTACTACAGAAGACATGAAAGCAAGGGGACAGGATTATATTCTTTTCATTCTCAAATCATAGTTCACACTTGAGCTTCTTTCGTAGATAGCTCAGCTCATTCATCTTCTGGTCTAGCTCATTGGAGTCAGAGATGTCATTTTCAATGGAGGATATCTGCTTCAAGCTGATAAATCTGTCCTCTTGGATCTTCTTTTTGGAGAGTTTACTCTGAAGACTACTTACACGAGAGTGAAGTTCCTCTATTATCCCATTATGAGTGTCAAGTTTGAGCTTGTATTCATCATTTTTGATTATTATTGTGCTACTTTCTGCTTTAAGCATGTTGAGGACCTCCTCTTTACTGTGCAAAGCAGCCTGGAGCTGGTTCACCTGGCCTTCAAATTTAGCTGCTTTTAAGATCAAATTGTTTATTTCTGTAGTAAGCATTTCTATCTGCTGGTCCTTATCAGCTACCACTTTGAGGTAATTGTCCTTCTCGAGTTGTGCGACTTTGAGCACTTTCGAACTCTTAGTATTAGCTTTGACAAACTTTGCCTGATTGTGTGCATAAATATCTAATTTCTGGATAATCTTTATTTTCTGGGTACTGAGGGAATTATTAACATTAGTAAGATGCTCGATTTCCTCTTCAAGAGCATCAACTCTAACCTTTTGTTCCTCTTCAGCAGTCTCGAGTCTCTCAATCTGGATCTTAAGTGCGCTAATAACTTCAGTAGGATTTGAGGAGCCAATATTGGTATCGATTTCCTTCTCACCTTGCATGGCTTTCTTTTTGAGCAGAGATTCAAATTGCTTCTTAAGATCTTGATACTTTTTCTTCATGATTTCCTTCTCTCTGATATTATCATCAGCTATCTTCTGGTATTCCTTAATGCTGTCTTCTAGTTCCTTAGCTAATTTCTCAGAGTTCTGGGCTTCTGAGTAAAGCACCTCTACGTGTTCCTTTTCATTGACAAGCTTGAGGTAGTCATCAGAAATTTCACTCAATTTATTCTTAAAGTTTTGTTGGATTTGAGTATTTTGATCCTCGTATTCGGCAATTTCAGAGGCATGTTCAGCTTTTAGTTTGGAAATCTCCAGCTTGAAGTCCTCTCAGCTCTTACGAAGGGTTTCTGAATGTTTGAGGAGTATAAGGCCCTGTTTTAGGAGCTTCTGGACAATATCAGATGCCATGATTGCTTCTTCTGAAAACTTCTCTTCAAGCTTCAGTGTTGTCAGGTATTCATGCAAAGCTTTGTTCTCGACATCTACATTTTTAAGGTTTGACTGGATATCAGAAATTGTTTTCCAAGGCTCATCTATAAACTTAGGGATATTGGTCTTGGGCTGGTGGACACCTATCTCTTCTGTCATATCCATGGTTGACTCTCCGGTATCTTCATCAATAACTTTGTCACATAACTGGCACTGACAGATATGCATCGGAACTTTTACAGTTTGATCATTCTTCATAAAAGCTATTTTCTTCTCAAACAGGTAATAAGGATTGAACCTCGCATGGATTTTGGACTTCAATAGAGAGATTTGCTTTGTTTTCTTACGAAATCTTTCTTGAAATTCCTTAAGCTGCTTGTTCAAGGTTGATAACAGAATTTTGTAGCTATAAATCTCTATGGAGTGCTAAAGTATGAAAATCTTAGTAAACTTACCTTTTTCTTAAGCAGGCTAATTTCTTCTAACTTCACAGGTGGGCTCACAGAAGACTGGGGAACCCCAGTCTTCTGTGAGTATGCCCTGTGTAGAAGTTGGTGGAGTAATTCTAAGGCTTTGAAATTGTAATGTTCTGATCCTGATTCTTCAAATTTTGCATCATGAATTCCTAGCACATTATCTATATTGATCTTTACTTCTTGCACTACTTCATTAGTGGAGAGTATTTCCTTCAATGCGGAATTGAGTGTGGTGAAATCTTGTAAGATGTGCATATTGCTCATAACAGCTGATGAAAAATCAGCTTGAAGAAAATTTAGAGTTTTCTGGAGATATGCATTATTTTCTTTCTCCTCTTGGAGTCATGTAGCCAAGCATTTGTTTTGATAAATGGAAAGAATTCCTCGCAGCTTCGCAACCAGCAGCACCCTCGGTAGAACATATGAGAGGTCAGAGTCTAGCGAAAGGAGAGTCTCTCGCTTCGAATGCTTTGAAGACAAAGAGCCCAAAGATTCAAAAAGATTGAGATACCGTGAATTGGTTAGAGAAGACGACAAGTTCAGTTATCGCAGAAGACAAAGATAATTAATTCTTATCAACTTCAAATAATTTTAGTATTTTGGGGTTTTGGGGTTTTGGGGTTTTGGGGTTTTGGGG